TCTCCAATCTTTCCTCAAAACTAATTGAAAATCTTAAATATAAAATGTTTTAGCAAAAACCTACAAGACTAGTCTAAACAATAGTCAATAGAGTACTCCATAAAAAAGTCAATAGTCCATATAATAGCCAATAAACTAACCCTTATACTAGAACATAGAATTGTCAATAGACAAGTCTATCGAATAGTCAATGGATTAGTCAAGAGAATAGTCAATATATTAATCATTAGAATATTCAATAGACTAGTCCATAGAATAGTCAATAAACTATTCCATAGAATATACTAGACAATAGAATAGTCAATAGACTAATCTATAGAATAGTCAGTAAACTAGTCCATAGAATAGACTAAATAATAGAATAGTCAATAAACTAATCCATAGAATAGTCAATACAATACACAAGTCTATAGAATAGTTCATAGAATAATCAATAGACTAGTCCATAGAATAGTCAATAGACTTGTCCATAGAATAGTCAATAGATTAATCCATAGAATAGTCAATAGATTAGTCCATCGATTAGTCACTAGACTTGTTAATAGAGTAATCAATACATACGTCAATAGAATAGAACATAGAATAATCAATATACTAGACCATAGAATTGTCAATAGACTTGTCCATAGAAAGGTCAATAGACTTGTCCATAGAATAATTAATAGAGTAGTCGAAAGAATAGCCAATAGACTAGTCATTAGAATATTCAATAGACTAGTCAATAAACTAGTCCATAGAATAGACAATAGAATAGTCAATAGACTAATCAATAGAATAGTCCATAGAATAGTCAATACATAAGTATATAGAATAGTTCATAGAATTATCAATAGACTAGTTCATAGAATAGTCAATAGACTTGTCCATAGAGTAGTCAATAGATTAGTCCATATAATAGTCAATAGATTAGTCACTAGACTTGTTAATAGAGTAATCAATACATAAGTCAATAGAATAGAACATTGAATAATTAATATACTAAGCCACAGAATTGTCAATAGACTTGTCCATGGAAAGGTTAATAGACTTGTCCATAGAATAGTTAATAGAGTAGTCGATAAATAGATAATAGACTAGTCCACATAATAGTCGTTAGACTAGTTCAATGAGTTATCAATAGAATAGTCTATAGAATAGTCACTAGACTAGTTCATAGAGTAATCAATACATAAGTCTTTAGAATAGTTCATAGAATAATTAATAGACTAGTCCATAGAAGAGTCAATGAAATTGTCAATAGACTTGTCCATAGAATAGTCACTAGACTAGTTCAAAGAGTAAGCAACACATAAGTCTATAGAATAGACAATAGAGTAGTCGATAGAATAGTCAATAAACTAGTCCATAGAATAGTCAATAGACTTGTCCATAGAATAGTCGATAGACTAGATTATAATCCATAGTTAGTATACTAATAAATAATTGACTATTCTAAGTACTTAGTAGTCAATAGACTTGTCCATAGAATAGTCAATAGACCAGTCCATGGTCCAGTTAATAGACTAGTAAATAAAATAGTCAATAGACTAATTAATAGTCTAGTCTATTGACTAATGAATAGAATAATCATAGAATAATCAATAGACTAGTCCATAGAATAGTCCATAGAATGGTCAATAGACTTGTCCATAGGGTAGCCAATAGATTAGTCCATATAATAGTCAATAGATTAGTCCATAGATTAGTCACTAGACTTGTTAATAGAGTAATCAATACATAAGTCAATAGAATAGAACATTGAATAATCAATATACTAGACCATAGAATTGTCAATAGACTTGTCCATAGAATGGTCAATAGACTTGTCCATAGAATAGTTAATAGAGTAGTCGAAAGAATAGTCAATAGAATAGACAATAGACTCGTCCATAGAATAGTCAGTAAACTAGTCCATAGAATAGACTAAATAATAGAATAGTCAATAAACTAATCCATAGAATAGTCCATAGAATAGTCAATACAATACACAAGTCTATAGAATAGTTCATAGAATAATCAATAGACTAGTCCATAGAATAGTCAATAGACTTGTCCATAGAATAGTCAATAGATTAATCCATAGAATAGTCAATAGATTAGTCCATCGATTAGTCACTAGACTTGTTAATAGAGTAATCAATACATACGTCAATAGAATAGAACATAGAATAATCAATATACTAGACCATAGAATTGTCAATAGACTTGTCCGTAGAAAGGTCAATAGACTTGTCCATAGAATAGTTAATAGAGTAGTCGAAAGAATAGTCAATAGAATAGACAATAGACTCGTCCATAGAATAGTCAGTAAACTAGTCCATAGAATAGACTAAATAATAGAATAGTCAATAAACTAATCCATAGAATAGTCCATAGAATAGTCAATACAATACACAAGTCTATAGAATAGTTCATAGAATAATCAATAGACTAGTCCATAGAATAGTCAATAGACCATATAATAGCCAATAAACTAACCCTTATACTAGAACATAGAATTGTCAATAGACAAGTCTATCGAATAGTCCATGGATTAGTCAAGAGAATAGTCAATATATTAATCATTAGAATATTCAATAGACTAGTCCATAGAATAGTCAATAAACTAGTCCATAGAATAGACTAGACAATAGAATAGTCAATAGACTAATCCATAGAATAGTCAGTAAACTAATCCATAGAATAGACTAAATAATAGAATAGTCAATAAACTAATCCATAGAATAGTCCATAGAATAGTCAATACAATACACAAGTCTATAGAATAGTTCATAGAATAATCAATAGACTAGTCCATAGAATAGTCAATAGACTTGTCCATAGAATAGTCAATAGATTAATCCATAGAATAGTCAATAGATTAGTCCATAGATTATTCACTAGACTTATTAATAGAGTAATCAATGCATACGTCAATAGAATAGAAGATAGAATAATCAATATACTAGACCATAAAATTGTCAATAGACTTGTCCATAGAATAATTAATAGAGTAGTCGAAAGAATAGTCAATAGACTAGTCATTAGAATATTCAATAGACTAGTCAATAAACTAGTCCATAGAATAGACAATAGAATAGTCAATTGACTAATCCATAGAATAGTCCATAGAATAGTCAATACATAAGTATATAGAATAGTTCATAGAATAATCAATAGACTAGTTCATAGAATAGTCCATAGAATGGTCAATAGACTTGTCCATAGAGTAGTCAATAGATTAGTCCATATAATAGTCAATAGATTAGTCACTAGACTTGTTAATAGAGTAATCAATACATAAGTCAATAGAATAGAACATTGAATAATTAATATACTAAGCCACAGAATTGTCAATAGACTTGTCCATGGAAAGGTTAATAGACTTGTCCATAGAATAGTTAATAGACTAGTCGATAGAATAGATAATAGACTAGTCCACATAATAGTCGTTAGACTAGTTCATATAATTATCAATAGAATAGTCTATAGAATAGTCACTAGACTAGTTCATAGAGTAATCAATACATAAGTCTTTAGAATAGTTCATAGAATAATTAATAGACTAGTCCATAGAAGAGTCAATGGAATTATCCATAGAATGGTCACTAGACTAGTTCAAAGAGTAAGCAACACATAAGTCTATAGAATAGGCAATAGAGAAGTCGATAGAATAGTCAATAAACTAGTCCATAGAATAGTCAATAGACTTGGCCATAGAATAGTCGATAGACTAGTTTATAATCCATAGTTAGTATACTAGTAAATAATTGACTATTCTAAGTACTTAGTAGTCAATAGACTTGTCCATAGAATATAGTCAATAGACCAGTCCATGGTCCAGTTAATAGACTAGTAAATAAAATAGTCAATAGACTAATTAATAGTCTAGTCTATTGACTAGTGACTAGTCTAGCAAATAGACTAATCAATAGACTAGTTAACAAACTATTCAATGAAAAGTTAAATAAACTATTATTGAAATAAATTAGTACTATTACAAAATTGAAACTATCCTGCACCCGGTCCTTGTTAAAAGTTAAAAAAAGTGTGTTGTTAAATAGTAGTACATAATATGTTTGATTATAAAAATGTATTTTTAAAATTATAATATAAATCAATTAGCAGCATATTAACAAGATGAAACAATATAGACAATATATTGAATATTTATTTATAAATATAAACAATTTTGCGGTGATTTAAAAGATAAAATTATTAAATGAAAAATATTATGTTACAATAGAAAATATTCAAGTTAAAAAAAAAACAAGCCTTTGTGTTAACCATTAAAATTGCCATAAACGAAATATATGTATTCAAACTGTACAACTAAAATACCTTTTTTCTTTAAAATCATTTACGCTTATAATGCTTCATCGGCGATAGTAGGAGTAGAAGTAGAATTGGTGTCAAACAAAGGAAGATTGCGATATTGTGCACTAGGACGTTTAAGGTTTTGTAAATTTTGATACATCTACATTGAACAATTTAATGTGTACAAATATAAATATATATATATATATATATATATATATATATTGATTTGATCATACCAAATACACAAACGAAAATGGAGGAAGAATACAAATTACCAAAAAATATATAAAAAAAAACAAAAGTAATAAATTAAGTGTTTAATTAAATGAAATAAAATCTAAAGGAATTATAGGAAATTTGAAAAAAAAAAACGTGCAGTTTCTTTTCTACTACTACCAATTGGTACATTGTAAAGTCAAACCTCTTTGGTTTTTTTGTTATTATTGTTAAATTACTTACCAAGGCCTTGCTATTAATTAAATTACGTACAGCAAAGGCTCGACCTGATAAACTTTGTTTAGCCAATTTTGCATTGAGATTTTCTAAAAATTCAGCTTTTGCTTTTGATCGTATGCTAGCAGTTTTATCGACATTTGTGCTGGTATAGTCTAAAATTATTGTTTTTATGAAAAAAATAAAGGTGAAGAGAAAAAAAATTTGATGAAATTGTTTTGATGGTGTTAAAAAAATGGTTTGTAAAAAAAAGGCATGTTTTAAAGCTACGGCAGTATAAAGAAATTTAAAAAAACAAAATATAACTAATACTATAACAAAATAACAAAATTTGTTTAAAAAAACTTACAAATATGTATATTTCATTAGAGAGAAACAATTTTCAGAATTAGTCAAGAGTTTTTAACTCAAATTAAAAACAAAATCAGATCATGTGGTTTTTAAAAAGTGCGAATGAGTTATGATTTGTTAATAAAAAGTTCAATTATATTTTTAATTAGACATTAAAGTATACAAAATATGCCAACTCTTTGGGGGGGAAATTTGAATTACAATATTTGGAAATAATATTATTATTGCTAATTGAAAATATTTCTAATATCCGATAAGTTTAGCCAAAGAGTCAGAAGATTTGTTTTGTTATCAATATTTAGAATTTTAATAGTGCTAAAGAGAAAATTATGTTTATGTTTATGAAAACCAGGGACTAAAAGTGGGGAGAGTTTTAAAATAGATTCACCACACTTGTGTATATCGAGTTGTTATATTCATTACTCTCTAGCTTTGAGTATCAGTTATTAATGACAAAATATATATATTTTACAGAAAACTGATTAATATTGAAGCTTTAATAAGTATTTCTCTATAATCAATAATAATCAATTCTGACTGAAAAAAGTCACTTAATAGACTAGTGCTTAGAGTACTAGGCCGTAGTCTAGTCAATTGACTAGGACGTAGTCTAGTCAATTGACTAGGCCATAGTCTAGTCAGTAGACTTGCCCGTAGTCTAGTCAATAGACTAGTCAGTATTCTAATAGACTAGTCAGTAATATAGTCAATAGACTATTCAATAGACAAGTCCGTAAAATACTCAATAGTTCGAAATTTTGTCAATAGACAAGGTCGCTGTCTAGTCAATAGACTGGTCGGTAGTCTAACGAATAGACTAGTCCGTAATCTAATCAATATACTAGTCAGGAATATAGTCAATAGACTAGTCCGTAGACTAGTCAATAGCCTAGTCCGTAGACTACTTAATAGACAAGTCCGTAAAATACCCAATAGTGACTGAAAAAAGTCACTTAATAGACTAGTGCTTAGAGTACTAGGCCGTAGTCTAGTCAATTGACTAGGACGTAGTCTAGTCAATAGACTAGGCCATAGTCTAGTCAGTAGACTTGCCCGTAGTCTAGTCAATAGACTAGGCCGTAGTCTAGCCAATAGACTAGTCCGTAGTCTAGTCAATAGACTAGTCCGTAGTCTAATCAATAGACTAGTCAGTATTCTAATAGACTAGTCAGTAATATAGTCAATAGACTAGTCCGTAGACTATTCAATAGACAAGTCCGTAAAATACTCAATAGTTCGAAATTTTGTCAATAGACAAGGTCGCTGTCTAGTCAATAGACTGGTCGGTAGTCTAACGAATAGACTAGTCCGTAATCTAATCAATATACTAGTCAGGAATATAGTCAATAGACTAGTCCGTAGACTACTTAATAGACAAGTCCGTAAAATACCCAATAGTTCAAAATTTTGTCAATAGACTGGTACGTTCTCTAATCAATAGACTAAGCCTTGGTATAGTCAGTAGACTAGTCAGTAATCTAGTCAATAGACTAGTCCGTAGACTAGTCAATAGCCTAGTCCGTAAACTACTCAATAAAAACTAGTCAATCAATACACTAATCAATTGACTAGTCAATTTACAAGTTCGTAGTTTAATCAATTTAATCAATTAATAGTCAATACAGCAGTCAATAGTCTAGTAGGCAGACTATTCATTAGACCATTCAATAGGCTAGTCTGTAAACTATTTAATAGCTTAGTCTGTGGAATAGTCAATAGTCGAGTCCGTAGACTAGTCAATACACTTGTCCTTAGACTAGTCAATAGTTCATAGAATAGTCAATAGATTAGTCCGTAGTCTAGTCATTGCTGTTGCCAATAGACAACTTGTTTAAAATAGAGAGTTTTGAATATAGTTCCTCGATATGTACGTACATCTGTATTTCAATAAAGCACAATAAAGGACATCAGAAAATTAACACAATTAAGTAAAAGAAAATAATAGAAGCAATTCAGAAACTCATGTGTAAAAAAGTTCATTGATAAAGACATAAAAAAAGTTGACACGACAAAAGAGTTAAATGTAAAGACACATTAAAAAACATTTAGTAAAACTATTAAACAAACTAAATATGTCATGTTATATCTAGTTCATTTAAAGTGCAATAATGTTCAAGATGATTTGAAGAAAGGCGGAGGAAAAAACAATGATAGGAACATTATATGAAACGAAAGGGTAACGTTTATAAAACCAATTTCAGATGGTTTTTGTTGATTCCTTTTTAAGTTAATTACGTGGAAAGGGAAAAAGACAAAATGCAGCAGCAATATGGGACAAGTTGCTTCCATACAACACCCAAGTCGTTAGACGTTTTATATGTAAATGATAACTTAAAAACTTAAATTTAACATAAAAAAAAGTAAGCAGCATGCAAACAAATAATGTAAAAAAACAAAAAAATATCTTATTCTGTTTTGTTACATTTTCCGCTGGGAACAATTCAAAATTAAAAAGAATTTCAAAAATGCTTCGTTTAACTCAAAGGAAGGAAAAAAAAAACAAGAAACTCAAAAAACAACAGGCATTAGGAAAAACGCGTTCTCACTTGTATTCGAGGCAGTATTTAATTGATGGTTGTAATACATTTGGCCAGTATTACCACCACCGCCGCCGCCGCCAACATCATAATGAGACATAACAGCACCACCACCACTGCCACTACTACGACGACTGCTGGTGCCATAAATGCTAGCCACTGAAGAGGGAGTGGGTGAACTACAAATAGGTGAAGCTGGTTGAGAATGGACGGATGATGTTGCACTGGGCGAATGACAGTGTATAGTAGTGGTTTGTATGAAGGGATTTGTGGCCACAAATATCTTCTGCTGTACACTGGAATGACGAGAGGGTACCGGTGGCTGTTTAACATTAACTGTAGCAGTTTTATTTCTATTAGTAGTTTGTTGGGACGTTTGCTGTTGGGCTTGTTGTTGTTGTTGTTGCTGCTGATGATGTGGCAGTGGCATAGGTGGACGTTGACTAATATGCTGAGGATTTTGATATTGTTGAGCTGGTTGAGGGGCGCCTGTTATGGCGGCCGGAGCGTGATATTGTTGCTGTTGGGCTTGATGTGTACCATATATACCCTGCTGTTGCTGCTGTTGCTGTAAACGTTGTTGTTGTTGAATCATATTTTTAGGTAAAGTGGCGGCAGCTGAAGCTGCTGCATAAGCAGCCAAATTATGTGGCTGCTGTTGATGATGTTGGTGATGACTACTAGTCGCACGTTTGGGCATAGTAGCTGAATTATTATTACTACTATGTATTGGTGGTGGTGGAGGATCTTCAAGCGGTGGCGGACACGTATAATGCTGAGCTGATGCATGATGCATTGGCTCGCGCTGTTGATGATGTGTATGATGAGCCGTTTGATAATGAGATTGCTGAACAATTGGTTCAGGCTGTGGCGGCAAGGGGGACTGAGACATAGGCATTGTTTGATGGGATTGTCGCGATGGATGCATATTTGTAGCATTTGCCACTTTTAGCACATGTTGCTGTGCTTGTTGCTGTTGTTGTTGCTGATGATGGGCAGCTGTTAAATGTTTAGGCGCATAATATTGAGAAGAATATTGATTTTGATTTTGGTTGGTATTGAAAGTGGCATTGGCATTGTTTTCAGCGGCTGCATTTTGCATATTATTTAAGGGGGGATGATAGTGAGTAGAAGTAGAAGAATTTGTTGTAGAATTGATAGTATTTACAGAATTGTGAGCAATATGAGCAGAAGTGGAGGAAGTGGAAGTAGAAGAAGTTGTAGTGTGAGAAGTATAATTATGCGAGGTTTTATTAGAACCCAATAATGATGATGATGATGTTTTAGATGAAGAAGAAGAAGAAGTTGGTTCTTTTGTAAATGAAGTTACTTTGGAAAGTAACGATGATGTAGATGATGAAAGTGGAAAATGTGGTAATGCATTGAAACTAGCTGTAGCTGTAAGCTGTGTATTTGTTGTATGACTACTAACTACAGATGAAGAAGATTTCGTAGATGTTTGGTATATTGTTGTATTTGTTGAGGAGGCTAATGAAGATGATTGTGATTGTGATGAAGTTTGTAATTGTGATGTTGTTGATGTTGTTGATGATGATGAAGTGCTAAAACTACCATAAATTTTAGATTTAATATTTTCAAAAAATTTACCGTCGTAGGTTTGCTGCTGCTGTGTTTGTTGTTGTGGTGGCTGTGTTAAATGTGGCGACATCTGCTGTTGCTGATAGTTACGCATATAGATTTCTTCCCTCTGCTGATGATGGTTTATCGAGGACACACCATAGATAGCTTCATTCGAATTTGTTTGTTGTTTACTATTTAAGCGTGCATTTAATTGAGCTATTAGATTGGGATTAGTTTTTGGTTGAGCTGGCACATGTGTTTGTGTGGGTGTTTGATGACCGTTAGGACCTGGACTGTTGGTACGAAAACTTGACATATTATTTAAAATTTTCGGTTGTGCATATATTCCGCCGCCGGGTGATGAAGTGCGAAATGACTGCAATAAGAAAATAATAAACAATTAATAAATAAACAATAAACAATAAAAGTTTAATTGATAAATATGATGCTTTTGTTCAAATAGGGTTAATTTTTTTGTTAAATGGTCGATTTTTTCCAAAACAAATTCTAGTGCCAATATTTCAAGGAGTATTATTTTTTAAAATCATCCTTTTGTCAATTATATATTAGAAGATTGTACGCTTTTTTTTTAGCAATGAAATCTGTTTGTACTTTAAGAATACCGTTAGTGGGGTTAGTTTTCAACATGTTGGCATATATCAACTCTATTTGAACTTACAGTTGGCGAATTTGTGCCATAAATGGCTTCACCATTATTATAATCTTGCGGTTGTTGCTCTTGATATTGATTTTGCTGCTGCTGTTGTTGATGTTGGTGTTGGTGATGATGATGATTTTGTAATTGCTGTGGCGGCATATGATTATTATTACTATGAGCAGTTGCAACTGGCGTAGGCAACTGCTGCTGATAACGTAACGGTAGGGATAATTGATGTTGATGATGGTGAATAGTTTGAGATTGATTGGGATTTGGTGGTGGCAAAGGAGGGGGTATTTCATCAAGATCAGTTTGTAAAGAGGATAGCGGCGTAAGGGGTGTAGTGGGCGTTGTACGTTTAATTGTAGGTGGTGATAACAAAACAGGTGAGGATTTTGTATATTGGTGTTGATATTGTTTTGGTGGCTGTTGATAAAGTGGTGATATTATTTTATTAGGATTAGCATTATTAAGCATTAAAGCAATATTTGCATTATTTTTTGTAGGCGTTATTAGCTTATCGTTATCAGCAAATGATTGTACTTCAACATAAGTATTATAATAAGCATCATATTCGGGTTCATCGTGCATGGGTAAAGTTATAGGAGATGTTGGGGTAGTAATGTTAGGAGAATAGATTTGATGGTGTATAGGACTCTATGATTTTTTTTTTTTGTTTACAGTTGTGTGATGTATTTGTGTGTGTGTGTACAAGTGCAGGTGTGTTTTGAAAAAATTGAAATTGAAAATTGTTTATAAGTATAAGAAAATAGCATAGAAAATCAAAAGAATTAAAATTAAAGATGTTGATAGAAAATAAAAAAAATACAACAAATAAAGCAAGAAAATGTAATGATATTTACATAATTTGAAAAAAAGTGAAACATGTTTATAAACATAGAAAAAAATTCTGTTAATATGTACAGTTACTGTTAAGATAATAGAACCTCTGCGAATTTTAAATTTTATTTCATAATTACGTTATTATCTATCAATACTTTAGGTTAGAATAGATTTTACTATAGAATCAAACCTTTATAATAACTACGGAATTACGATCAAGGATGTTAGACCGGCCGGATAATTTGTAAAAGTTTTTTTTGTTTATAAACATGTTTCACAAATTTTTTCAAAAAGATTTTGAGTTTTTTTTTTTTTAAATTTATGCTACAAATGTTGAAAAAGCCTTATGCGATATCCATGATTTGATACATGTTTAGAGACATGACGCTAGATTTGATGCGTTTTGTATTAGTTCTTGTTGCCACCTCACCTGTAACATAGATTGTTGTTGCAACTGCTGTTGCTGTTGCTGCTGCTGTTGTTGTTGTTGAAGACGTCTTAAGGTATGAGGAGATGCAGGTTGATGACGCAAACCCGACAAAGCTTTAACCGTTTCTGATACCTTCTGTGATGAATTGGGCATGACCGACGATGGCGGAGAGGTGGGAGTAGTTTGACGTGCATCCAATAAATAAGCCGGTGGTGGAGGCAAATTTTCGGTGGAAGTATTTAAAGAATGAGCTTGCTGATGCAACATATTTATAGCATTTGTATTGGTAGGCTAAAGTTATGGATATTTTAAGTTTTTTTTTTTTTTAAGAAAAAATAAAATAAAAATAAATTTAACAAAATAAAAAATGGTATTTAATAAAAAAAACTATAACAACTTAAAATGTAAGTAAGTATTCAAAAGTGATTTTTGGGGATTAAGTTTTAATAGTGCAATTTGTGACAGTTAGTTTTGTTTAAGGTTTTAAGCCACACACCCAATTAATTTAAGTGTCTAACAGGGAATCCTTTTATTAACTTTTATTTTAGCTGTGAAAGGGGAAATTTTGTTGAGTTTAAAGATATTCTTATTAACTTACCGTGGTAGGTGTATTAGGACTAGGTGTTACTGATGAGCTGCGTCTTACGGGCGGTGGTGGTTTGGCAGTATTTACTGAAGACCGTCTAGCAATACGGGTAGATCCTATGGGTTATATATAATATTAGTGAGTATTGTTGTTTGTTAAATGTGTTTTTTTTTTGCTATTGTAAGTACATATTGTGTTTACTGATAATTATTGTTTTTTTAACAACTGTGACTGTTAAATTATGCACAAGTTATAAGACAAGACACCATAATACATCATTCATAGTTTTTAGATATTATTTGTTTTTAGTTTGTAACAAAGAGTTGTAAAATTAAATAATTTAAGATAATTTTGAACCAAAATAACTATGATTTTTGAATTTTGAGACATTTTGTGGGCACTTGGTTGGAAGTCTGGCAGTCGGAAAGTCGTGATTTCTATTCCCAGCAGAGTTTATGGTGAAGGAGAGTTATATACATCCACCATTAATAACTAACTAACTATAACTAACTAACTAACTAACTAACTAACTAACTAACTAACAACTAACTAACTAACTAACGAACTAACTAACTAAACTAACTAACTAACTAACCAAGTAACTAACTAACTGACAAACTAACTAAAAACTGGACAAAACTAACTAACTAACTAACTAACTAACTAACTAACTAACTAACTAACACACGAACTAACGAACGAACGAAACTAACCAAGGAACGAACGAAAACGAACGAACGAACGAACGAACAACGAACGAACGAACGAACGAACGAACTAACG